AAAAAAAAAAAAAAAGGAAAAAGCCACCACCACCACAGGTTTGCACTCTGCCATGCTGCAATATTCCCTACAGAGTTCCATGACTTGCTTAGGTTTACACTTCCACTAACATTTGAAGCTTCTCTAGACACATGAAAAGATTTTGTCCTGTGCAACTTGCCAGTGACTTAATGCTGGAAGAGAAGATTCTTCTGAACCAATTAAAACTGTAACACAGTGAGAAAGTCTCATGGGTCACACTCACGTCTGGATTTCAAATGAAAACTAACAGTTTTGATCATGAAGACTATCTATTTTCATCAGACTATGGAAAAAAATGTAAAAGAGACATGTTTCCTCTATCACATTCATGGGACACATCATATTCAATGTGTAGATCATTAATGATGCCATAGATGAGGACACAGTTCTTCCTTTTTCAAGTCCTCTACCACAGCACTCAGTTTCAGAAAAAGCAGCATTTTGCACACTTCCTTCCAGACTTAAATCCAGATTTGAACCTGCCCTTACAGAGGTGCAAACTCCCAATTTGCTCATATCTCCCTACATTAGAAGCATTTCCTAAAAGCGAAATTTTATTCCTACAATCGTTTCAGCTCCATACTGGGGTGTTAGAACACTGAATTCTTTCACAGATATTATCAGGGAGGTTCTAGACACAAAGATGCCCAAGGTAATATTAGAATAATACTAGTTTAGGCATGACTTCTGAAAGTGGTCACGTGGTGGGGGAGAAGGGGAGCCAATATTCCAAGATTGCAGAAAAGCAAAGAATTAGCTAACTGGTTATCATTACTTGGCTGCCTTAGGACAGCAGAACACTGACTGAATACCACCTGATTTCATAGATGCTGCTCGGCTCCCATCTGCCTTCAATCTGACATTAACAGGAATAGTTAAATATTTTTTTTTTTGCAGTCTCCTTAGATTGTGACTAATTCTTCATTATATCCCTGAAGTAAATGACTGTTATACTGTGTTATCTTCAACACAATTCATACATTAAAAAACTGAGCATGAGACATGCCAGCAGCATTTTCACATGTGCTAGCTATTCAGGCAAACTAATTGGATTTTATATCTGTCTCTCCTCCAATTTGTTCACTGAATTCTTCCGATTGTTTGGGAATTGATACAGAAAAACCACCACATTATTCCCTATTTCCGCTCCCCATTTAAAGCAAAAGCCAACAGAGCTTCCCTTCTTAAACAGCAGAATCCTGCCTCTCTCTCTGCTCTCAAGAGAAGGGTCAACGCACTGACTGAAACAAAACAATCACACATACACAGAACATGCCAGCTCCGGAGCTGAGCTGGAAACCAACCAACCAACCTCCACTAATCCAAACAAATCCAGCATCAGCCATTAGGGCGAGCACCCTCCCCCTGCAGAACCACAACAGGAAGTCTCTTCATCTAAGAGGCAACAGCAGCCAAGTGACATTCAAGGGAARGCAGGCAGGGCAAGAAATCACATGACAGCTAAGTCTTTCTTACATGCTGCTGTTTCCCACTCCAAAATTCTGCCCRTCTCCTCTAATAGTTGTTTTGAATTAGGGGGAAAAAAAGTGTTGGGGAAAGGCAAGGATAAAAGGGACTGAGTGTAGGAGGAAGAAACGAAGCAACAATTGCCAGAAGAGAGATTAGTAAGAAGTTATGGAAAGGAGGAATGGAGTTTCGCGGTGGCTCTGGACTAGTACAGCCGAGCTTGCTAACAGGATGCGAAGCAGGATCAGGAAGCACTAACATACAAAAGGAAAAGGGAACGGAGAGGAAAAATAAAGAGCAGAGCGGGGGTGGGTTTCCCGTGTAGCAGAGGCGACGCGAGGAGCCCCGTGCGCGAGGGCTGCGCTGACAGGCCGGGCCGGGCCCGCGAGCTCGCCGGCCCGCTCACCTTGATGCACTGCGACATTGCAGCCGTGCCCGTCGCAGTAGACGAGCGGGTTCTCGGCCCAGCCCCTCTCGTCGGAGCACACGCAGCAGCCGCCGATCATCTCCTTCATGCTACTGGAGAACTCGCCCTCCAGTGACACCGGCAGCAGCAGCGGCTCGCTAGAGACCATCTACGGGTTAAAAACACCGGCGTCAACAACACACACGCACACGCGCGCGCTCCGCGCTGCCTGCCCCCTCCCCGGCGGTGTCTCCCCTCAGTCACTCAGCCGCCGCCGCCGCCGCCACGGCGGCGATCTGGGGCCCATGACCGCGGGCCGAGAGCCGCCGCTCGCCCCCGCCCGACCAACCGGCCAGGCTGTGTGAGTCACGCGAGCGCAGGGGCAGCCGGCGGCGGCGCTGGGGAGGACACC